TGACAAGTAGTGTCCGACAAGGAACCCAAGTTCTCTTCTGGATTATGGTTTAGCTTTCAACAAGTTATGAGAACGAAAACTATCCCTTAATACTTGCATTCTACCCTCAAACCGACGGATAGTTAGAAATGACGATTTGCACACTTGAGGATATGCTCCGAGCTTGTGTTCTTGACTTCGAGGGGCCATTAGGATAACCATCTACCCCTGATAGAGTTCACCTACAACAACAGGTATCAAGCAAGTATTGACATGGCTTCATACGAGGTGTTGCATGGTCCCCCATGCAAATCGTCAATATGTTGGGAAAAAGTGGGTGATAGAAAACCCAAATTTCGTAGAGAAGACTACAGCAAAAATAGTTAAGATTAGGAAGAACATTCAGACGACTCAAAGCAGACAGAAGAGTTATGCAGACACCCGGAGGAGAGATTTGAAATTTGAAAAAGGCGATCGAGTGTTTCTTAAGGTTATTCATTTTAAGAGAATCTGTAGGTTTGGCAAGAGGGGGAAGTTAAATCCCCGGGTGTCTGCTGCCGCCTACAGATTGGTACTGCTTCCAGAACTTTTTAGGGTGCATAATGTGTTTCATGTGTACATGTTACGCAAGTACAACTTGCACCCCTCTTATGTCTTGGCCTACGAGCCTCTTCCCCTCCAGGAGGATCTGTCCTACGAGGAAATACTGGTTGGCATCGTGGACCGAAAGAGCAGAGTACTCCGCAACTGGAAAATTTTCTTTGTTAAGGTCCTATGACAAAATAACACACTGGTCGAGGCCACATGGAAGCTAGAATCGGACTTCAGAGCCCAATCTCTCCAACTGTTTGATTGAGTGAGAGAGAGATAAATTTGAGGGACCAAATTTCTTTTAAGGGGGGGAGAGTTGTAATAAATATAGATTTTTTAATTTTCAAAATTAAATTTAATGTAAAAATGAAGAAAAATAGGTGAATGATGAAATAAAAAAATAATTTTGGGAAAAAGTGGTGAAAATTGGGTTTTGATATATTTTTAAAAGAAAAATCGAAAACTGTGGGTTATACAATTTAAGAAAATTGTGCTATGTAGGACGCTCAGTCAGCAACCCCGACAAATCAGAACACGCTACATGGCAAGGGATGCTAACACAATGCCACGAGGGAGGCCACGTGGGCGATCTGCATGTCCACAATTGGACGATCCAGATTCGCTCATGCGCGCACAGATGGCCCGGATGCGTTTCCTCCCCAAACGCAATCGGACGGTTCAGATTCGTTCCTGCGCGCACGGATGGCCTGGATGCATTTCTTCCCCAAACGCGATCGGACGGTTCATATTCGCTCTCACGTGCACGGACAGTCCGGATGCGTTCCCTCCCCAAACGCAATCGGATAGTCCAGATTCGCTCCCGCACGCACAGACAGTCCGGATGCGTTTCCTCCCCAAACGCAATCGGACGGTCAGATTTAAATGCAATCAATAGTCCAGATCCACTTTATATTTAAACGCAATCGGACAGTACAGATCAGATCAGAATGAACGGTTCAGATTCATTTCCTATTTAATCACGATCGAACGACCCAGATTAAACGCAATAAATGACCCAGGTTAAAAGGGGACGAATATAAATAACCCTCTTCATACCAAATCTTAACGCTTGCCGCCAGACACCGTCGCTGGAGAAGAAGACCCAACCGTTGGGAAGGGAAGCCGCTGCCACCTACCTCTGCGCCGGCACCACTTTCGACCACCAAAAGAGGTAAAAAAAATTCTA